TGTGGGAAGCCACCCCCCCTCCTCTCCTACACCTGACAGGCAGCTGCCTGTCCAGTGTAGGAGGGGGAGGGGGAGGAGTATTAGGAGCCACTGTGGAGGTTGGGCTGCACCTGACAGACCACCGCCTGTTAGGTGTAGGAGGTGGGGGGAGTGTGTTGGAAGCCATCAGAGAGGCTGGGCCAGCAGCTTTGCTTCACCTCACAGGTGGTTCTTGTCCACTCCTGATTTCCTCAACTGTCATTAGCTCTCTGCAGTCCCCTGTACCTGTGGGTTTTTTTTTTTACCTCAGAACACTGAGCTCTGCAGCTGACCAATCAGAGGGGTGTGTGTGCAGAGACGCAGCTGCCTGGCAGCCACATAGGAAACAATGGGGGGAGAACATTCTCCCCCTTTTGACCCACTTAGGGGTCAAATTTCTAAAAATCCCTTCTTAGCGAGCACCCACGCCCTGGTAGGAGCACTCTCCCTGAATTTGGTGTCTCTAGGTCCAGCAGTTTGGCCTGGGCATTGATTTTATGGTGAAGGGACTTTCTTTTATATATATAGATGTATATATATAAAAATGGAACAGTCTGCTTCTCCCCTAATATCTGTGCAATTTAGTTTGTTCCTGTTGGGTAGAGCTCTTGTTCCAGTTTCCAGTTTTGTATGTTAGCTGAAGTTGTTGGTTGTTGGAGTTGTCTCCTTGCAAATAAATGGCTGATGTTTTAAACCAGCTTGTCTCTGCTGAATGGACCTGAGAATGGGTGTCTGAGTGAGTACTCTAACCTGGAAACCCACAGCCAAAGGGAGACATTACATCTACAAGCTTGGCAAAGTCCCAGAAAAATTTGAACTAAAAAAGCACTTGTAGCTTTAATAAACAGATGCTTTCAGTGGCAGTTATTAGGCAACCACAACACTTTGGCCAGCATTCCACGCTTTGTTTCTTACACAAGAAGGCAGGGGAGGGGACAGGGCCCTTTCTCAGGTTGCTGTGGCCTAGAGTTGCCAGGTCTGGGTCAGAAAATACCTGGAAGCTTTGGGGGTGGATCCAGGAGAGGGCACAGTTTGAGGAGGGGAGGGGCCTCAGCATGGTACAATGCCATAGAGTCCACCCTCCAAACCAGCCATTTTCTCCAAGGGAGCTGATCTCTGTCAGCTGGAGCTCAGTTGTAAAAGTGGAAGATCTCCAGGCCCCACCTGGAGGCTGGGAACCCTACTTTGGCCTTTGATGGAGGATTCATTGGAGCCAGACCCGACAGCAACCATTAGGGAATTTGATACTACCTGTTCTGCATGACTCTCCCAGGCCTGGCTGCTTGCTAATGTTCAATAGCAGCCACGGCCACCCCATGAAAGCCAGTGTAGTTTTGTAGTTAGAGTTTCTGCTGTGGAAACTCAGTGGGTGATCTTGGGCCATTTGTGCATTCTCAGCCTGACTTATCCCACATGTTTGTTGTGTGGATAAACTAGAGGAAAGGAGAAAGATCTAAGTTGCACTGTGTCCACATTGTGGAGAAAAGTGGGATATAAATGTTGTAAACAAATAAGATGGGGTCCACATAAAAGGTAGATTGGTGGTTGGGTGTGAAGGAGAGAAGGAAGCAGGGAAAGGTGAGGATATGGGAGTTGCTAGGATGAGGGAAAGAAAAATAGTGTGGGGAGGAAAGAGGAAGCAGTGAGGGGATGCAAAAAAAAAATTGAGGTGCCTTCCCTCAAGTCCTTGCAGATTCCTCCCAGAGCAAATGGACCCAACTCAGCTGGCACCATGCACTTCGGCCATAGTTTTCCTGGTGAGAGGCTGCCAGGGGAAGGGAAGGAAGGACAGCTGAAGACAGAGGGCAGATAAAGGTAGGTTGGCGAGTGGGTGGAAATGAGAGGAAGAAGCAAAAAAAAGGGGTATGGAATGGGGGCTTTCAGGAAAGGAAAAGTAGACATAATGAGGAAGGGGGAAATGAGTTGTCCCTCACAAGTGCTTGCAGGTCTTCCACATAACAACCTATTGCCACAATCTGCTTATTCCTCTGAAATCCCAGATTTCATTTTTTTAAAAATACTAAGTTTCTAGGCCTTTTTGTTGTGATGCACTTTTCCCTTTGTATCCTTGCAAGGGAAATGGCTAGAAACTTGCATTTTAAAAATAAAATGTGAAATCAGAGCATGGCAAAAGGTTATTAGAGTGATATAACTCTATGACAGCCATGACATGAAAAATGGCTTCACAAATGCATATTTTCCCATTCACGTAGCATGCAAACACACTTTGACTGCAATATTTCCAGAAGGACCCTATCAAACCAGGTTTGTGAAAGTTCAGAGCAAAGCAGGGGAAACCACAAACAATGGATGGTGAGGGGATGACATTGTGGGTTTGCTCAATCCTAAATGGATACCAGTCTGGAGCAAAACCTCCAATCTGAAGTAACCTTTATCCTTCCCAAGAGCTTTATATGCTGTCATATGCAAGTGATGAGCAAGAAACCTGATATAATACAGGTTAATAGTACAGAAACTTTTTTATGAATTTATATGTATTTATTTAGAGACATAATCTTCAATCCTGTTGTGGCAGAAAACTCCCATTCAGTAGGGTATCAACAGAAATACGATACAGTAAATGGTATGAAGACTGTAGGGACAGAATGTGAGTATCTTTTTTAAAGAATGTGAGTATCTCTGTACATGGGAGCTTTGTCACTGATTTCAAAAGATGGTAGAGTACTAGGGCTGCCAAGTGGGGGCAGGGGGGGTAAACCCCCGCTTTGGAGGCCCAATTTCCGCCACCATGGAATCGGGCCCTGGGGGGAACTCCCCCCCCCGAAGTGCAGCGTGGATGTGTCACCAGAGGTGATGCAACCACGTCGATCACGTTGGGGGTGTGGCCCCGATCGTCGGAGGGAAAACTCTATGGTTTTCCCTCCAACGATTGGGGCCACGCCCTCAATGTGATCAACGTCGTGCATCACTTCTGGTGACGTGCTGGCGGCACACACGCGCACGACGAGGGACGGCTCCCAAAGCGCGGCGAGTCTCCCCCGCCGGTGAGTAAAATTCACTTGGCAACCCTATAGTGTACAGCCAAAATTTAAAATCTTATTCCTGTATACTTTATATAAAGCAGGTCTGTCAGTTTGAACAACAATCATATGAGTGTATTTGGATATTCTGAGTACTGAGAAGCAATAACAAAACTAGGAACCACCTCACATGGAGAGTCTGTGCAACACTTTAGTGTTATCTATACATTTGCTTCAGGCAAAGGAAAAAAAAATATTAGAAATGCAATTAAGATTTCTTTCTCATACTATTTACAGATTAAGGCATGTGGTGACCATGAGATAATTAATGCCCAGAGACAAAGTGCAGGTAATTACATTTCATGATATGCCAAATTAGGATTATTTCACAATGGCTGTGAACAATTGCCTAATTCTTGTTAATTTATGGAGCAAACATAATATAGTCTTACTATTCACAGGTACTGCAGTGCTGCTGTTGTGGGGTTTTATTGCTTAACATATTCAGGAAGACTGAATGAGTGTAATAAGGATATTAATGGGAATTAAATGTTAATACTATTTACAGCCAACTGTGTTGACAAAGCAACAGGAAATGCTCGGAGGATAACATAGAAAGATTCCATAACTTGGTCCTTACTATTTCAGGCAGAACAACAAAATGCTACTACAATGCTAAGTATATGTAGAATGCAACTCCTAATTTTGCTTTGGAAATCATTTAAACAAAAATTATTCAATTACCCTGTTTCCACTTATGAGTGCTTTGATCTCAGTTTTGAGAGCCCTGCTATGGTCCTGCATGGTCTCCAGTGGATTTAGAAGGCTGCACCTTTGTTTAGGTTGCACTACTCATCACAAGCATCTTCAAGAAGCAATCTTAAGTAGGTCTACTCATTAATTACTAACATTTTATTCAGCGGGCTTACTCCTTAGGACTGCAGTCTTTGTCAAGAAAATACTTTTTTTTCTCTGTTGCTATTATTTGAAAAACACGCCCAATAGGAAATGAAGTCAAGAAGCAACTGATTGCACATGGAAGCAAATGTCTCTCCCTCCCTCCCTCTCTACACACACACACACACACACACACACACACACACAAAACTGAAAAATCAGAAATGGTGTAAATTTTCCAACCCTAAATTTGTTCAGTTAGATTAAATTTTTACATTGGACATTATTTATAGGAACAGTATTATTCTAAAAGTAGTATGTTGGAGGGGGAAAGACAGAAACATGTTCTAACAATACCTGTGGGTTAACTTAAAAAAAACCCCACTACTATTCAAATCTTAACCAAAATCCCAGGAACCAACCAGAAATTGAACTGAATGGTTTTGGATTAATAGGTAATTACAAATTAATAATAAAGACTTACAGGGATGAGAAGAATTTTTCACCAAAGGACACTGGTCCCAAGGTAATGGGTGCTGAAAGGACTGAGAAAAGTAAAATAAACTCCAACCAATGATGACATTGTAGTAAAGAGCCACAAAATAGCACACCTATGGAAAATGCAAAATATTTTAAAACAGTATACTTTTTAGTACCTAATTCAAAATAACTTGTAAAACAATTGGTGAAAACCGTATACATTGGAGCAGTAACAAATATTAGCTTAGGAAAGAGCATATTGGCTATTCTGGTAACAGAGTGTCTCAAAACTATGGTTTTACTTGTTCCAAGCTGACATATAAGTAGAAATACTTATGGCTCAGATGCTAGTCCTATATGTGTAACACCTTATAATCCACAGAGCTGACATAGTAATTTACAGGTTCTCACACAGGAGGTCAAGTGCCAGTGCATGAACAGGCACTGGGGCCAAAAGCTGCCGTAACAGACATCATTAGTGCAGTTTTCCTACTGCATCACAGTTAGGAAAACAGAATACTTACTCAACAAATAACATGGAAGGAGAATTGGGTAGAGATGAGACCAATAAGCTATAACATCAGCATACTTTGTACATGGATGTTTCTTCAGTAAATACTTCTTGATTATTTAATGTTATGTACAGAAGAGCTCACTGGGTTTGCCCCATCTCTTGAGAATACGGTGAACTCTATCTGCCATGGCACGATATGTTTTAAATCCCTATAATAGCCACATAAGCTAGCAATACAACTAAAAAGAATAGGAAGTATTCACTTTTTCTTTCTTTCTTTTTTGTCTTGGGCCCTCATGCTGTTTTAGAGTTTTACTCTCTAGCGCCTTAATCTCTAGTAGTCTAAACAACTGGAATGTGTGTGTAATGTTCAGTAATCTGTTTCATGTTTTATATTAGTTCCAGGATGCTAAAATCTGGAGGTGTACCAGTCCAGGTTTTACTCTTGTCTGGAGATAAGTGGGTTATAGAAGAACTGCTATGAGGACTGTGGTAGGCGTTGTGTTTTTTCATTTACCCTGAATAAAGTTATTATATATTTACTGAAGTGCATCTTCCTGGATGATTGCAGCATCTTACAGTGTGTTAACTAGTTTCACTGTTACATGAGTATTTGTGCATATGCTTTTCCTTTGTATTAGACCATAAGAACAAAAGAACATAAGAGACGCCAATGTTGGATCAGGCCAAAGGCCCATCCAGTCCAACACTCTGTGTCACACAGTGGCCAGAAATACCAGTGCCATCAGGAGGTCCACCAGTGGGGCCAGGACATTAGAAGCCCTCCCACTGTTGACCCCCCTAGCACCAAGAAGACAGAGCCTCACTTTCCCCAGAGCCCCTATCTATACCTTGTGGCTAATAGCTACTGATGGACCTACATTTCCAATACTCTGCAAAACATGAAAATTATCTAATAGTAACTTGAAAAGCAAACTGTAAGTTCCTATAATGTTTTAAGGTAACATGTCATTACTTACTACACAGCTTGCAAATCCAATTCCACCAAGTTTGGGGCTGATATAATTCCATACTCCAATGCTTCCCCGACGGATTCTCTGGCCCACAGAAAGCTCCAGGAAAAAGAGTGGTATCCCTATGACCAGCAGCAAAATTAAATATGGCACAAGATAGGCACCTGTCAAGACAAGATACTGAGTAACCATTAAGATGCATAGCATTTAATGCATAATAAATCTGCAGATTTTCTTGCTATGGTGGCATCTAGGCTTGCTAGTCAACCACCATAGCTGGAATCCCACTCTACCCAAACCAGTGTGTACAGACAGCAAGCTTTCATTGCAAGGCATGAAGATCACTTTGAGATCCACAGCATCGTTCAGCAACAGGATGGGGAGAAAATCATAGAGAGATAGAAAGAGCACAGGAAACAACAGAGAAGAAAATAACACAGTGAAGTGTACAACCTGATCCTTGAAAATAACTTTCAAAAATAAAAGTTAAATTGTGCAGTCTGTCCTGTACTCTTCAGATAGTTGAGAATCCCTTTTGGTTTGACTTCCGGTTTTGGCGGGCTGATGGCGGCTATATCCCTGGGGAGCTCCTGGGGAGCAATCCGTGGCCAGTGCATTGAGAGGGGGTGCGAATGTCCGCACCCCCCTGGGACCCTTGTCATGGGTCCCTTGTCATGGGGCGCTGAGGGTTGCCTCTCTGTGGGCACACTGCCAGCAGATTGAGGCTTCCCTTTGCCCCGAAGGTCTCTGCACTGTGTTCCTGAATGGGACTAAGCTACGCACACCAGGACAAGCACTTGGAGGTTCAGCGTTTAAATCGTTACCTGGTGAGACCCAAGTGATCAGACGTTGAACAGTGAGTCCGTCAAAGCGAGAACACCAGAAAATGAGTGAGTCCCCTTTTACTAAAAGTGAGGGGGAGAGGGGACTCTCCCCCAGAAAGAACAAATGATTTATTTTTATTTATTTATAGTTTCAATTTATAGCCTGCCCGCCCCGCAAAAGTGATTAAAGAAAAGCCTTTGTAGTGGGGACAGAGTTCTAAGTGGCAATAGACTGTATTAGAGAGACCCCAGGAGCCAAATAAGCAGTTGGGCAAGTTTTCGGGACTTTGGCAAACTTTATAAAAAATAAACATGTTTAAAAATGGCGATTGGCAAGGCAGTAGAAGCAGCAAGCAAGATCCAAGCTTTCTTCAGGAAGTGAAAGAGCAACTGGCCCATGTGACTAGAAGTAACCATAGACTCTTTCAGGATGTATGTTAAGTTTTTGCCCCCTTCTGGCAAAAATGAGGTACTTCACAAGAACTGTGCTATATATTGGCTGTTATTTTCAAGGGACTGTGTTAACATTGGAGAAGCAACTAGCCTTTGATCACAGGGACTTCCAATATTTAAGAGGAGAGTCTAATGAGTAGGTTTAAGTGTGGGGCCTGTATGCAGATGTTAAGCAAAGTTGAAAGCGAATGGGTATGCCATGGACATATCTGAAATAAGTCTGATGGGCAAAAGGGCAGATAGACTCTCGGTAAGTTTGGCTTTCAAAAGCAACAAATGGAATGATCTCTAAGATTGAAGGTAAGAATTCAAGCGGATAACAGTCCTTGAAAAAGAAAAAGGGACTTTGTTTTGAGACAACCAGTTCCAGTTCCAGCAAGACAATGCCACAGGGAAAGTGTTCAAGAAGAAAGAAGATTACAGCGTGGGAAGAGAAATTGACTGTGTTACACCTACTGAAGGAAATTTAATTATTAATTGGCTTTAAAGGAAGGAGGGAAAAACAACTGTAAAATGAGATGCCATTGTTCTCTGAAATTTGTTTTTAAGTTAACTAGCAATTCTCATGGAATGCTCTTTATATAGTCAGATTGGATGGTTTGTTAACATAATTATGTTAAGAAAAGCAATTTCTATATTGTTAAGGTATTACTTTTATAAGCAGTGTATGACCTCCAACTCTTGGGTTTTTAGTGGGTTTTCTTTCCTTTCTCCTATAGTTGTAGATCCCTTCCCTATTTTCGTTGTAGTTTTTAGCAAATGCAAATTTTAAAAAATCTCCTACGGGGGGCCAAAAAAATAAAAGAATCCCTTTTGGGATTAGGAGCATTTTGCAAATGGCAAAAGGACTATCAAGTACACAATGCAGTCTTAGGATGCATTAACAGAAGCATTGTGTCCAGATCAAGGGAGGTGGTAGTTCCGCTCTATTCTGCTATGGTCAGGCCTCACCTGGAGTACTGTGTCCAGTTTTGGGCACCACATTGTAGAAAGGATGTTGACAAGCTCAAGCATGTACAGAAGAGGGCAACTAGGATGGTGGGAGGGTTGGAATCCAAGTCTTATGAGGAAAGGTTGAAAGAGTTGGGTATGTTTAGCCTGGGAAAGAGAAGGCTTAGAGGGGACCTGATTGCAGTCTTCAAATATTTGAAGGGTTGTTATGTAGAAGTTGGAACAGATCTATTCTCTCTTGCTCCGGATTGCAAGACCATATCTAATGGGTGGAAATTACAAGGGAGTCGATACCAGCTAAATATCAGGAGAAACTTCCTAACTGTAAGAGTGGTTGAGCAGTGGAACAGTCTGCCTCGGGAGGTGGTGGATGCTCCTTCACTGGATGTTTTCAAGTGGAGGCTGGATGACCATCTTTCCGGTATGTTGTGGGGCTATCTTTCGGCTATGCTCCTGCAGAGTGCAGGGGGTTGGACTAGATGACCTGCAAAGTCCCTTCCAACTCTAACATTCTATGATTCTATGATTCTAAGGAATAAGGAGTTCATTCCTGGGGTTTCTACCCAAAAGAAAACAGATCTGTGGAACTGGTATTGCCAGGTCCCCCTGACCACCATCATGGGAATGTGGGAGTACAGTTTCCAGATCCAGGGTGAGAAACCTCTGGAGATCTGGGGATGGAGCTATGGAGGACAGGGACCTCAGTGGTGTACAATGCCATTGATTCCACTCTCCAAAGCATTCATTTTCTCCAGGGGCACTGATCTCTGTAGTCTGGAGATAAGCTGTAATTCCAGGGAATCCCCAGTTCCCATGGGGAGGCTGGCATCCCTATGCAGAACTGGAAAATGCAATCTGAACCAAAAGTGAAACTTCAAACTACTTTGGGCTCCCTTTTTCCACTGACTGAATGTTTTCAGTATGAAGAAGCAATCCTACCTCTTCCATATTTAATCTTCACTTTTCTTTTTCAAAACAAAGACTTAAAATTTGTTTCTACTTAACCACAAACTTGCACTGTAAAGTATATGTCCTTGACCCAAATCAGACCACAGAATGCCAAATGACGCTGGGTTTTGTGTGTGTGTTCTGGAACTTGACAGTAACTAATGAGCTACAGTGACATCCTAAGCAGTCACACCATTCTACATTGAAGTCAATGGGCTTGAAAGCATCCATCCTCGTTGCATTTAAATACCAGTTCTCTTCTAGCATTTACATTGCTTTTCAATTTTATACCAAAGCTAGTTGTTTACCACTAACCAGGTAACCTGAACAATACAAAGCACAGTAGATACCACAGTATTTTGAATATCCCCAAGCTCCATATATTTCATGATATGGAGAAAATGCTACCCTACTTTATAGGGCTGTTGTGACAACTGATGAGATGATCCAGGGGAACTAGTTTGAACTTTTACTGCCACCCGGCCAAGAAATCCTTACATGAATATTATGTTGTAATATTACATTTGGAAATTTTAAATAAAATATACATTTACATTAATATAATACTGGGTGTGCATGCACTTGTGTTGCTGTTGTTGTTTACTGTTGTAGCTGGCAGGAAAGATCTCCAGACTGACATTTCAAACAGTCTTCCCTTGAGAAAATATTAATTTGCTAGAGCCAAACTGGAGGCCTTTAATGTCATTAGTATCCTGAACAGAGATTTACCCTTCCAAGCCAATTCATTACAGTGGACTTTGAAGGATGTAGCACACTGCTTAGAACTGGACTGCAGACCCGCATGAAAGTAGATGCAAATTCTTGTGCTGTTCCCATATGTACAAATGTGCAAAAATCAGCAGAGTTACTTATCGAGTAAGTAGAGCCAAACTCAAGAAAACGTGTTCCTTTTTTTCATTCTATAAAATGGGATGGTATAGACCACAGAAAATATAGAAAATCTTCTACAATCATATTGCTAATGCACATACAATCCTCCCATACGAAGATAAGCAGTGACTATATCTGAACATTATTTTTTTGCCATCAAATCACAACCCTATAGGACTTTCAAGGCAAGAGATGTTCAGACCCTGTTCAGCTTCCAAGACCTGGTGAGACTGAGCTAGCCTGAGCTATCCAAGTCAGGGTTTATCTCAACATTCAGGACATAGAAGTACTTTCTTCTAGTATAGCTTGAATGCATTGTTTATAATATGTAGATATTTTTCATGAATTTATGTTGCATGTAAAGTAAGATGATCTGTAGATATTTTCATCTGCTGAAATGGCAAGAACATTCTGTAATTAAGAGAAATCAATAAATGCAAGAAGCATTAGGAAATGACTGAAGGCCTATTTTGTAGCTACTAGAAAAATAATTGTAACTAAGCTGAACTACTAGAGGGTGTTCAATTTCTATTGACAAATAACATTCTAATTACAAAGGCTTTTAGAAATGCCCTTTGCCAAAAAGAAAGTTTTACAACAAAAATCCTAAAGTAACTTTTTTTAAATTCTCAGAATTGATTTCAGAACATAGGAACACCTTTCCTGGAGTCCACCAAGAGTTTTTAGTAAGTAAGTGGGGGCAGATGAGGCTTTTGCCAAGCAGGGCTCGACTGGTCATTAGAAAGCTGACTCACTGTGTAGATTTTTTAAAAATATGGTGTGGTGGCAGCTGCCACCACAACACAGGATCTTCATTTTAAAACAATATGTTCATTTTAAGAAGCATCCTGTTAAACAGAGCTTCTGTCTGAAATGTTGGAGTGTTACTATTAGAGTTACGCATGACCTCACACCGTCACATTTTGTGGTTGGCTTCATCTTGCTTTAGAAAAGCAATGTGTGAAGAGAAATGCAAATTGTGTGTGAGTCTGTGTGTGTTAAATACAAACAGATCTATGGGATCTAGGAAAAAACTTGGAATACGTGAGAGCTCATATAAAGGATAAGAGGGGAATCACTTTCATTGAAACAAGTATGCTCAAGACCTAAGAGACACCACTGAAGACCGACAAAGACAGGAGTAGGAAGCTTCAGGAACCAATAGAGGTGAGCTTAAGCTAGCAAGGTCAGTGACTAAATACAGACTCTTACCTCCACCATTTTTTTGACACAGATATGGGAATCGCCACACATTCCCCAACCCTACAGAAAATCCAACTTGTGCCAGAATATACTGAAGTTTGCTATTCCAAGCTGGTCTCTCATCTTCTACATCAGATCCCTCTTCTATGTCCACATCTTTATCCTGATCATCAACAGACAGCTCACTCTTCTTGAAAGCATCTTCAACAGAGTCTTCATTGGATAGGAGATCTTTAACTGACTCAATGACATCATCATCTATTTCTCTTTTTACGACCTTGCTGTTCTTAGGCATTTGCAGTAAATAAATGGGAATGCCAGGTTACGTTAACTTCAGGTGGACTACCCAGTCACAGTCAATATCTTCCTTTTGCAAGATCAAAAGTATCTGAAATTGGATTGAATCACTTGACTGAAGAGAATGTCCCTTCTTGTAGAGTGATCCAGAGAATGGAGATTTTTGTCTGTATGTGCTTGTTGTAACACAAAATACCTGTAAAAAAATTAGCAGTTACATCAAATTCAGAAGGTTACTTCAGTGGTTATGTATAGTTTATCTATTCCACTCTATAACATAAGAATTCATAGCTATTCTTTTCAATGCCTTTCTTTACGTGAATGAAAGTAAAAAGGTCAATTGCTAATCTTCTATCTTCACCTGCTGTTCAACTGTATTACTCCATATAAATATTAAATATAACATTCAAAAGTGAGATCATGTTCACATGTGCCTTCAAGCATCTGGCCTGGCACTTGTATGCTCTATGAAGATACAGTTTTAATTATTTATACAATATAGCCAAGTATTATTGTTACAAATCACATTTATATCCCACTTTTTCATACACTAAGGACAGCATACATGGGGTTATCCATCATCACAACTCTGTAGAGTATGATAATTTGACAAACTGTGATTGGCCTGAGGTCAGTCAGTGAGCTTCTTAGTGAAAGTTTATATTCATATTGCAAAATGGGAAAGGTATAAAGTGCTTTATAGCAATCTGTAAAGCAATATAAAACTTTAGAGCAATCAGTCACAGCTGCTGGCAAAACATCAGGTCCTACAATGGCAAGACCACAGCTATACAGTCTGGAAAATCTACAACTAATGACATCCGGCCGGGAAAGCCTTCAACAACATAATCTGTAAAACTACTCCACAGCTTTCAAAATTAAGATATATCAATCTGAGATTATAGGTGCTATGTGCAATATATGCGACATGGTCAATGTATTTGTTACCTATATTGTGCAATGAATGGCTATGACAAATGCACTCATGGGATCACAGAAACATGTATAAGCTAAGGTAGCATTGCCTGGGGACAACTTTATGGGTTTGTATGAATAGAAATAAAATGTTAAGGAATATCTCTCTGTTCAAAAACAAAAATTCAGAAAAATCAAATGGCAATGAGGGCAGATGGGCTGAATGGTCCCAAGAAGTTCAGCCTGATGAGTAGTGGAATGCTCCTACAATTGATTTGTTGTGTGCCTGGACAGCAATCCAACCCAAGTCTCGTGTACTATTTTAACCAGTGTTGGATAGTTTCACAATACTGCAGTGAAGATGGGTTGACTTGCAAAGTGAGTAGAATCCATGTGGTTGAATCCACACAATTCACATGTTGATCAGATGCCTTAGTCTTGAAATTTCTCAAATCCAGATAATGCAGCTGAATTTAAAATCTTAATGCAAGTATTTGGGTGAGGCTAAATACTATTCTAGTCCTCAGCATGCTGGGGAGTAGCCTGTGTCAGTGGCTGCCTCCACATTGCCACATTATCCAGTTTGGCAGGTGTAAACCCTGAAAACACAGCTGAAATACTATATGTAAACTGTAAAGAAGTTATAACTCCAGGGACTCAGTGCTCTTCCTTTTGATGGGGCGCCATTGGTGCCAGCGTCAGAGGTTAGGAGTTTGGGAGTGCTTCTGGATCCCTCCTTAACTATGGAGACCCAGGTGGCAGCCACTGCCAGATCGGCATTTTACCATCTTAGGCTGATTCGGCAGTTGGCTCCCTTCCTCGGCCGCGACGACCTGGCTGCAGTGATCCATGCGACGTTCACCTCGAGGCTAGACTACTTAACGCTCTCTACATGGGGCTGCCTTTGGGGCGGATCCGGAAGCTGCAGCTAGTGCAGAATGTGGCGGCCAGGCTGTTGATGGGTCTCCCCAAGTGTGAGCACATTCAGCCTGGACTGAAAGCGCTGCACTGGCTGCCAATAGCATACCGAATCCACTTCAAAGTGCTGGTACTTACCTTTAAAGCCCTACATGGCCGGGGTCCGACTTACCTGAGGGACCGCCTTTCCCCATATATACCCCCAAGAGCACTTCGGTCCGAGGCACAACATCGCCTGGTGGTTCCAGGCCCCCGGGAGGCAAGGCTCGCCACGATTAGGACCAGATCCTTTTCAGTTGTGGCCCCTACCTGGTGGAACGAGCTCCCGGAGGAGATCAGGGCCCTGCGTGACCTTATGCAGTTCTGCAGGGCCTGTAAGACAGAGCTCTTTCGCCAGGCTTTCACATAGGGGCCACCACTACCACCGCCACCAATTAGGTGGATAACATCAGGGTGAAGGATGGCCCGGGAAGATCTGCCACAACTTCTGCATGACCGATACCACTGGATTTACCTGGTTGAGCTATAGGATAACATTATCCTTGGAGAACTGTCTATTTACCATCTGGCATGTATCCAGAGACCATCTTGTTAAATGAGTACAATTGATATTAATTGTTATTAATGTTTTTATTGCTTTTATCTGTTTTATATGGGCTTTGCCCCTTGTAAGCTGCCCTGAGCCCGCTCTGTGGGGAGGGCGGGGTATAAATCTTAATAAATAAATAAATAAATTCATCCTGGCCGTGGGCTATTTGCTGCACAAAGGAGGGAACTCCACATTCAAAAAATAAACAGTTCTCTTTATTTACTATATCCAAGGACAAAGTAGGAGAGGAGACAGGAAAAAAAGGTAACAGTCCCATATTTAATGCAATTAAAAGCCAAAATTTCACAGCAGTTACCACAAGCAACAATCCAAGCCTTCAAATGAATTCCTCATACAAGGCTCCTGAAGAGGGACGAATTCCAAAAGTGTCACGGCTCTCCTCCAATTTCTTGCTTTGCCTTCTCTGTCTGACGACTAACGGCTGATAGTAACGACACCTCGAGTCCTCATCCAAAGGTATCTGCCAATAGCCTTTATTTAAATCAAAGACAGTGATAAATCTTGCTTGACCCAACCTTTCTATTATATCATCAATCCTAGGTAAGGGGAATACATCTGGCACAGTGACAGCATTAAGCTTGCGATAATCTACACAAAACCTAATTCCCCCCATCCTTTTTTGGTACCAAAACTACTGGACTAGAACAAGGTGACATGGAAGGTTCAATAACCCCCATCTCAAGCATATCAGTAATTTCCCAGGCAATGTCAGCACCATGAGGACTCACTCTACAAGGTCTACTAGCAACCGGGGCTGCACCCCCAGTATTAATACAATGGGTCAGCAAGTGAGTCCTCCCAAGCTGGGAAGTAAAAACAGAATCAAAATCCTTCAAAAGAGCATTCCAAAAGTCTCTCGGCTGTCCTCCAATTTCTTGCTTCGCCTTCTCTGTCTGACGACTAACAGCTGATAGTAACTACACTAACTTACTCCCTCTCTATCAGCCCCACTTATTAAGCTATCTCAGCCTTAATTGACCACAGCTGTTACTACCATGCTGTACCTTCCACAGGGCCTAAAGAGGAAATCATAAAAGGCTTCAACACTGCTGCCACACCCAAAACCCCATACACATAACACTTAATCCTTTACATAAGCTACATACAGGGTCATGGTATCTTTCAAACTGGCTTATCCTGTCATAGAAATTTTTAAACAAGAAGATGCATATGAGTCAGGCTTACTGTGATTTGGCGGGGGACACAGACACAGACGTCCTCGCAGGATTATTCCTGCGGGGACAACAGACGCGCCGCACCATGCTGTTGCCAGGAAGTGACGCTGGTACCATCGAGTTTTCAGTCCCATTGCCAGAGCGTCGCCCAGCGTCACTTCCTGGCAACAGCATGGTGCGTTACAGGGAGGAAGGTCCAGCTGGGGTGCATGTTTCCCGGCATGGTGTGTTACAGGGAGGAAGGGTCCAGCTGGGGTGCATGTTTCCCCCGCCGGATCACGGTAAGTACTTGGGAACCCTAATATGAGTAGCCAAATTTTCCACAGAAGGTTAACTTTGCCATTTTACTGAGAGGGTGGGTCATATCCTCCAAGAAATAGCACTGACAGTACTGTTGACTTTATAGGATTTTTTTCACATTTCTTGATATAAAACAATGGATCACCCTTACATTGTACAAATATATTGATCTACCAAATTCAGGGCTAAGATAACCAGGTTTAATCTTTTTAAAAAGCTAGAAGAAATTTCATTGTTTTCACATTTCTAATTCAGCCTTACCATGAAAAGAGAAGAATAAATTAACTAAACTGACTTAAGACTATTTTATTTGCCTTCTGGCTTCCAGACCATTAAAGGGGCCTTGGAAAATTCAGATACAGTGTTAGAAACGTGGTTTTACTAGTATTGGACCCTGTAAAATGAAACTCCTGATTTCATTATTTGACAGCTTCAGATAATGAAATTCAGTATTACAAAAGGAGTTTTTCCTGAGTTATATCAGATGAAGAGATGCTTAGAAAACCTGACATGTTAATGTAAGAGGACATTACAGCAGTGACAGCTACCAAAACTATTAGGCAGTTTTCTTATCACAGGAGATAATAAAGAAAATAATACTACAAAATCAGACCTCATTTCAGAAGCATTACTAAGTGCAGTTTCTCAGTACATTTATACAATATGCATTCTAGTCTAGTCTAGTCTAGATACCTTGGATGAACTGGCTACAAATTGTCAATAAAGCCTCACTAGGGAAAAAGGAAAAGCAGATGGTAGGACGAATTATTTGTGAGCTGTTTTTTGTTGACAAAACTGTATGTGCATAACTTTAAAAGGTATGGATCTGTAATTCTTATTTATGATGTGATTATTTTAACTGTTTTAGGGAACCATACTAAACAGGACTATTCAGAAATATATCCCATGCTATTGACTGGAGCTTACTCGCAGGAAAGTGTCCTTAGGACTGCAACATTAGTCTATCATATTGATTTGTTTTTACATTTTTAAACAGGTATTAGCTGCCCTAAGGTGGGATATAGATTGAAATATATAAAAAATAATGCAAAGATAATTATGTCTGTATGTGATAAGAGG